TCTAAGCATTCTAAGCTCTTATTTTGAGAGGGTTCTGGGTTCAGTTTCTTTATGGTTGCTTTCTGCCTTGTTGGTTCTTGCTCTGAAGCTAGTAGGGAGAGCTGAAAGAGGTTCAGTGTCCATAAACACCATGTGAGAATGTCCCCATATAACCTATCTCCGCATACCCATCTCATCTTAAGACAAAGCAGGCCTACAATTTCCAAAGAAGAAATTTAGCTCTGAGGTGAGGAGGACTCTCATCAGATTTGCATGACACTAGGGACTAGTTCAAAACTCCCACAGCTTTCACACTGCCAATAACCAGAGGTGCTTAGGAAGAGAGAAAAATCAAGTCCCAGCAGACTCTTTAGGCAATCCTTAGGTGATGGGAGGAATCTTTGCACAGGATACCCCTGCCCCCTTCTCTGCTGGATACAGAGGAAAGCTGTCCACCTTCAAAACTAGCTCTTATAACAGTTCTGTGGTGTAACCATATGCAGCGAGTTGCCCGAGACTGTTGCTCCCATCTGGGCACAAAAAGAGTTTGGTAGTTTGCCGAGTTTGATAGGAGCAGGAGTAGCAACAGTATATTAAGTATTTCAGATGTGCTTTCAGTTCTCCAGGTCTTCTCCTAGGTATACTGCAGAATCACTTGCTCAAGAGTACTGAGGTGCTCAAAAGGCATGGGTGAGTCCCCCAAATGTAGCAAGTTTTCAAAGCAATACATTTGGGGTTCCCTGTAATCATCTCCTGCCTTACACAGGAACTCTTTTCTAAACTGACTTGCTAGTCAGCTATCTTTTACTGCCCTCAGTGACTTCGCTCTGTTTCAAACCAATTTTGCTTTCACTTAAGTCAAAATGATTCAGTAGTTTCAAGAATGTAGAAAGGGAAGCAACGTTTCCCACTAGGGCGTGCCTGACTCTTCTTCAAGAACCCCAGCATATCGGCAGGCAGAACTGCAAGTCTGCCACTGCGGAAAGGAGCCAAAGGGCTGTGACTGACACCTCGCACTTGGGACAGATGCCTCTGATTCTGTACTGTGACATTTTGGGGGCTCACCACCGTTCCCTCTGTTAGGTGCATTCATGCATAGCATAACCCAGGGGTCAGCAACCTCACAGAGAACATTTTTTTTTGCCCAAACCAGAAGGAACTCAGCAGAAGCCAGGAGCTCCTATCCCTTGCGGAGGCAAGATACCACCCACTTATCTATATGATGGTACAAAGAAAAAGATAGAACAGTCTTCTATCTGTCTAAACCAGCAAAATAAAAACCCTGCTGTCTGCTGATCATCTTGTGCCACGCGATCACAGCACGGGCTGCTAACCCCTGGACTAGGCAATGGTACAGACTGGATAAGTAACCAGATTAGAGAGCCATGCATGGATTTACCTGGCTGAAACTGGCCTGAGACATTTCATTTCCCATGGGTCAGATCGCAGCCATCACATCTCAGTCACTACCAACCTGGACCAGAGAGGGAAGGATGACTCAGAAACAACAGGTTCTGCCGTGGGGTGCGCAGCGCTGGGCCCAGGCCATCCCCGGGCAGGAGCAGAGATACTGTGGGTTTCTCCTACATAAAGCTCCTTCCAATAGGAGACGCAGGTGTCTCATACCTACTACAAGAGGGGCACAGACTACAAGCATCTCTGGAGAGATGATTTCCCTAAGACACCACAGAGACTCCTATGGTAGTAGGACTGGGAATGAAACTCTACCTTAGCACCTCATCCTCACATCCCAAAGACTTACCTGGGAACAGCACAACTCCTTTAGGCCTGCTGACAAAGGTACGGAGGTGTCTGTGGGCTAGTTGCCAACTAAGCCAGTTGAGCACTGGTACAGCACAGTGCAGAAACAGCAGGAAGCAAAGGGCAGCCTCTGCCTCCACAGAAGGCAGGCACTGATGAGGCTAGGATGTCAGCCTCTCTGTACCAGGGACTGACCTGACTCCAGGGTCTCTACCTTCCCCATCAGCTAGCTGCACCTAGAACAGCTGTAACACCCCAAAAGCATCACAGGAGATGCTCTCTGTAGGCACGGACAATACCCAAAAATTCAGTGCTAAGGACAACACATAAAGTTTAGTGAAAACCTACGGACATTCAAAAGCCATTAAAGACTAGAAAATACCACTTACGAGGCTCTTGAACAAAAGGGGCACAAAGCATTTCTCTTCTGCCTCTCTTCTTTCACCTTATTATTTACTCCTCTTCTGCTCTTGCCCTTTGCCAGGCATGAGCACCATGGAGAACTGTCCAACACACAAGGGCTACAGACCACAGCACAGGGCTTACTGGGGACACCTCTGCTTTGGGCTGGTTTCGTGCCATCAGTCTTGTTACCCTTCTCTCTCTGGAAGCAGAACGCCCTGGAGGACGGCTGAACAAACATAGATCCTTTCTAACACCGGCGTATCATCTCGTTCAAGAAGCAAGTGGGAAAGCAGAATCCCCAAGGACAAAATAATCACAACTTCACGTTATCAGAGCAGGCATGACGGAATATGGAGGTTTTAAAATACGGGCCTGATCCTTAGGACATGGCATAGGAACTTATTTTATGTTCTGTACTAGAACAGGTTCACTCACTCTCCAGGAACTCCATCTGGGACTCTTCGGTGTTGATGCAGATGGCATTGAAGCCCTCGGTGGGAGCCACGCTACGCTTGACCTGGTTAGTAGCCAGGGAGTGGAGAACGCTGGTTTTCCCAGCCCCATCCAGGCCCAGCACCAGTATCTGCTTGCTGTGTCCTTTACCCTGCAAAACGAGGGGCAGCACGCTTAGCCAGGCAGCCAGGGCATGTGCAAAGCTCAGCAGGGCTGGAGGGAAAAAGGAGGCTTAACAAGGGGTCTGGAGGGACCAGCGAAAGCCACTTCACGGTGAAGAGGGAGAAGGTGGGCTCCTGCGGCACAAGCACACGGCCGCAGCGCAGGCGAGGCGATGGGAAGCCGGGGACACCCGCCGGCCCCGGCCCGCCCGACCAGACAACACGCAGCTGGGGAGGAAAGCGGAGAGA